TTCCATCTCTTTGAGTCAACCAGAAAGTTAAATAAAATGAAAATATTGGAGAATTTAATGAATTTAATGTAAATTGTGGAAAATTGTTGATTGGGATGACATATCGTGTAGCAGGAAGGTTAATAACGATCACATCAAATATGTAGAAAACAAAGAACTTTTCTTTATTATATTCGTTGTGTCGCGAGACTTGGTGATGTCATGTTTGCATTTACAAATCGTGTCACAAACCATCCATACGGTTCGATTTTTTTCTCATTCGTTCGCGCATGTACCTACGTCGCACTCTTTTTTTTTCTTTGTCACTCTCACGTACACAAACATACTCGCACGTTTTCTTTTTATTCCTCGATACACGCAGTTCTGTACAATCGACTCAAAGGACAACAAATGAATTCTTATTTGAATACTCTCTTTTCATCGAAATCTCATGAAAGTCCGCGTTGATTTGGATCATTTGCGAAATGGCCCGCAGGAAAGAAGATCGAAAGGATTTTCATTTCAAAGATATAAAATTTACAAAAGACGATTTTGAACTGTTATTAGCTAATCCATGATCAGTGGCAGTGATCGATGCAATGAGATCCATGTTAAATGAAAACTCTTCTTGCTAATTTTATAATCTCAGTTAACGCGAGAATCGAATCGAATCGATCGATTAATTAGTTACACTACTTAGTCACACGGTAATAATGGTTTGTAACGAACCATCTCATTTTCACAAGTTTCGTTTTAAACATATCTCATCATATCGGCATAGTTCTCGTTTCGTTATGAAATGTTTTCGATCTTTCTTTCGGGGTGATTTTTCGATTTCTGTCGACACTTTTCTTTATTTCTATCAGTTGTAAGTGCGATATGTTCCAACGGATAGTAATTTATAATAATACTTTTCCGTTCGAATGTTCTTATCGAGCTACATGTATACACTCGTTACACGAGTATACGTGATTATATATATGTATATACACACATATATATGCTTGATGCGCATTTTGGCGTTCAGATGATCTCTATTATCATTTCATTGCTCTTCCGCGATTTTTTATAAATTATTGAATATAATTATCTAGATGAATCTAAAAGACAAAAGCATCGGTCAAATCGATTCATGTGATCGACGTATTAACTCGACATTTATTCAATTCGACTGGTCCTTTCTGATTATGCACTTTCACAGTATACTTGCACAGTACTTTTCAAGTACTATTGATAGGAATGTTAAAAAATCAAGTCTCCTAGTAAGTTGGCGAGAACGAGAGCTGACGATCCATTTAAATAATACGACATTTTTTGAATTATTCAATAAGAAATATTTTTACGATCAGTAAACAATTTTGATGATTGTTTTCTTTTCCTTCAAATCTAATCTAATCTAATCTAATCGCCGTTTAATAACTATTCTTCCGCCTGCTTTATGATTCTTGACAAATAACCCTTCGTAATAGAATGGATGAACTGTCGTGGAATCGGGTAAAAAAACGAATTATTTAACAACAATTCTGCTCGAATTTATCAAATAATTTTGAACAGTCGGACACGTATTTCGTTCGTGTACATTTTCGCAGTCTAGCCGGCAGTCACAGCTGATGTATTTTATAGGAGCAATTTAATCAGATCCTCCTGATCCTTAAGCCAGCTGCGTTCGGTCGGCTCGTCAATTCGAGGATGAAGGTATGAACACCAAATAGAAAAGGACCAGGAAAGAGAATCAAGGTAAAAGTAAAAGAAACCAGTTGCTCCTTGAGCAAACTTCTCTCTTAACTTTGATTCTGTACTTTTAGCTTTTGTTAATCGTTCTTAATGTTAAGAATAATTATCGATCGTAGAGCTTAGTTATTAGTTATTAGTATATGATATAATTAATAAGATCAGTTAGTCTACGAATCGCTTGTTAGTAAACGAGTTGATCGATGAATATTTGTATGTACATATTGTTCGTCAGTTAGAAAATGGCATTTAAAACATTATCACGCAATGTCATATGACTAGACTGTGTATATTTATGCAGATTTACATTTTGTGAATATAAATAAAGCAATGGAAAATAAAGAGAAATTTGTTTTATCCATTAAATTTTGTAATAAGTATTATACTTTGGATATTTTATATATTTTTGCATCTTTAAATTTTCCATAAATGTATAAACGTTCACAGTTTACAGTATATAATCTTAATTGTAAATGTGAAACTTTCGGTCAACAAGCACGTGTTATGCATTTATAGAAAATTTAAATGTGGAAAAATATATAAAACGCTACGCGCAACATGTAGAAATATAGACACGTATAAAATATCCCAAGTAGATTACTCGTTACAATATTTAATTAATATTTAAAGGAAAAACAAGTTTTTATGTAGGTTACATTTCTTTAGTTTTATTTATAAAAAATATAAATTTCCATAAACTTTTTCAGTTTATTTATGGTTACATCAGGTATGATTAACCACAAACTATATGTATAGTGTTTTTTTTTTCAAGTACCATTTTCTGAATAACGATCAGCACATGCATTTTTAGTGAAATTTCTTCGCGTTGTTTTTGATCGAACTTGTTACAGGAATGTTCATTGTTCACAGAAATATAAATTCCTATCGGATATTGAAAGATACGTTACCTTGATTTCTGAAAAAAATTCATCTGAACGAACGAGAGAGTGAGAATCGGAAAGAAATGATCGATCGGTTTCGATGAAATAACATTACGCGATCGCTTCTACATTTTTAGCTTTTATTTATATGAGCTTTGCATATCTGCATTCATATGCGTATGTGTATGATGCATGCATTCGCGCTGCTATGCCTGCTGGGTCAAAACAATCTCGATTTTATTTTATTTATTGTAATAAATACTTCTGGTATATATATATATATATATATCTGGTATATATATATATATTTACGCAAACTCATATATCCTGGGTAAATCAAGTAAATCTTCGAAACTCTTTTCTCGTGGCCAACTCGCCACATTCGAGAAATGTTATACGTCATTTAATTGTCTTTGTCATATTTCGAAAAAATAATTTGTACAAAATAATAATTAAATTCAAAGTATAACGCAGAATTCGTGTATTTATATTTTCATGGCAATATGTTTATTTTATTAGATGAATGAGCGGACAACGTTGGAAAAATAGCACTGAGGTAGGTATATTACTGTTAAAACGAAAATCGTCCTATATGAAATTTTGATGGATCTTGAATACAAAAACAGTTAACTGGAATCAGCTTCGTTCGTTCTGTTGCTAAAGATATCAATGATATTCGGGGAAATTGGATGAAAATAAGATTGAGAAAGCGAAAGAAATAAAGCGTAACTTATTACTTGCACTTTAATTTATTTTTCATACGCGTCTTTCATGAATTTCACAAAATTTTTGCAATATCGAGTTAAAAACTAACTAAAAAGGGTATCGTCAAAAAAAA